CTGGGCGAGACTTGGGTGCCGAAGGTGCGAGGGCGTGTTCACCAGGGTGCAGACGGTGGGCCGGGCTGAAGTGGCCACCGTGGTGCAGGTGACCGTGGTGGGCGTCGTGGTGACGGTCGTACACACAATGGTACTCTCCTTGACCGCGAGAGAGGGCCACGAAGTATCGGAGATGTAGAAGGGCACCAAGGGTGTGGCGGGTATCTCTGGTAAGGCGAGGTGGAGGGTCCTTGCTGTAGGGCCCTGGCTGGCATCTGTGTAGCTGGATTCGGTGTCCTCGTCGATGTCCGAGTCGCTGCCGGGAGGGATGTTGGAACCAGCCTGTTGGGGGTGGGACGCAGCGACGAGATCCGCTTGGGGGTCCTCGGCGGAGGGAGGAGGACGGGTGAGTTCCTTCTGAAGGCGGTCCAAGTGGTGGAGCTTCTCCGGGGGATCGAGAGGCTTCTTGGTGCTGGTCCTGGAGCGGCGCTCTTCCCGGTGTTCGGTCTTGGATTTCTTCTTCTTCACGGTCTTGGGTCTGGGATGGTGGCTGGCGCGGTCTTCGGAGGAGTCCCGGAAGTAGGGGTGGATGCGGGAGCCAGAGCTGTGAGGGTTCGGCATGGTGAGTGTGGGTGTGCTGAGGTGGGTGTGTAACGCTGCTGTCGGGAGTGAAGCAGGATGCAAGAGGCCCAGGCAATACAGCGATCACAAGCACAGGCACAAGTACAGCAGGGTCGAGCACAGGGACAGGCACAGGGGCGGCGCGGTCAAGGCAGCAACACACACTGGTACCTACTGAGTCGGTGTTGGTGACGCCGGACCTTCCCCCTGGAAGGACGCAGGACACCGGGTGGGGATCAGCAGCAGGAAGACACCGGTGCGCGGCGCGGGTGACCGGGGCGAGAGGCTTGGCACTAATAGTGTCCAAGAGCAGGGCTTGATACCGATGCGCAGCGCGGCAGGCGTCGGGGAGCACAACACAAGGCGCGGTGGCAGCACTCGCGGCAGGGGGCGCGGCACGGCTAGCGGCGGGAGCGAAGTCGGCACGTAAAGTGTCCGAAGGCAAAGCAGCACAACGCGCGGCGCGGCAGGAGGCGGCAGCGGAGTCGGCACAGAAAGCGTCCGAAGGCGGGGCAGCACAGATAGCACGACGCGCGGCGCGGCAGGAGGCGGCGGCGGAATCGGCACAGAGAGCGTCCGATGGCAAAGCAGCACAGAAAGCACGACGCGCGGCGCGGCTGGAGGCAGCGGCAGGGGCGGCACTGAGGGCAGCACTTAGGTCAGAGTCTAGAACATAAGCAGCAGCATGGTGCGCGACGCGGGCGGCCGACGCGGCGGCAAGGCGGGGAGCACAGGCAGAAGCAGCGGGTCGCGCAGCGGCTAAGTCCTTGACGGCGAGGTGCGGAGTCCCGGTGCCGGACGCGGCGAGGGAGGAAAAGCTGGGTGCAAGTGGGCGCCGAGCCGTAGCCGTGCTGGCCGCTCCAGCGGCTAAGTCCCTGACGGCGAGGTGCGGGGTCCCGGTGCTGGACGCGGCGAGGGAGGAAAAGCTGGGTGCAAGCGGGGGCCGAGCCGTAGCCGTGCTAGCCGCTCCAGCGGCTAAGTCCTTGACGGCGAGGTGCGGGGTCCCGGTGCCGGACGCGGCGAGGGACGAACAGCTGGGTGCAAGCGGGCGCCGAGCCGTAGCCGTGCTGGCCGCTCCAGCGGCTAAGTCCCTGACGGCGAGGTGCGGGGTCCCGGTGCCGGACGCGGCGAGGGAGGAAAAGCTGGGTGCAAGCGGGCGCCGAGCCGTAGCCGTGCTGGCCGCTCCAGCGGCTAAGTCCTTGACGGCGAGGTGCGGAGTCCCGGTGCCGGACGCGGCGAGGGAGGAGAAGCTGGTGGCAGGCGGGCGCGAGGACGTCGGCACGGGGATGGTGCCGAGTACCGGGACCTGGAGTGGGACCAGGACAGCCTCGCCGGTGGGAACAAGAACAACATCGGCGCCGTGGAGCACTGCGACGGCAACCGGAACCACCACTGGCACGACGGCGACGGCGATCACTTGGAGCACAGGGGGGCCAGCACGGGCAACGGGAGCGCAATCAGCATGAGCAGCGGGAGCACAGACAGCTTGAGCACATGCAGGATGGGCAGTAGGAGCACAGGGAGCACAGGTAGCACCAGTAGCACACAGACAGGCAACACAGGCACGGGAGGCATGTATGGGCACAGGCACAGGTACGGGCAATACAGTGGCACTGGGACTTACTGGTGACGTGGGACCAATCAGCGTCAAGGTCCGAGCGGCGTCCGGCGTGGCTGGGCGTGACGTCACTGTCCAATGGGGCTGGCGGCGCTGGCCGGGCGAGGAGCAGCACGATGTCCAGGGACTTGACGGGGTCCATCGGGCGCCCGGAGCAGGGCATGGGGCCACAGTGGGCATGAAATGTCTAACACTGTGGGCCCCCCATGGGTCCAAACACATCAAACACAGAGGCACGAACACAGCACTGTATACACGCACTGTTTACGCACTGTTTACGTGCCGGGCCCGAGCCCGGCTACACGGTCGCGAGAACGCACTTTCACTGAGTTCGGGTCAGTTCAACAAAGTCTCAATCACGAGCTTTAAGCACACGCAAACACTGACTCGACGCACTACACCACGTTCTTCTGGGCCTTGCCCGCCTTCTTGGCGGCCTTTCCTGAAGTCTTGGGTGGCATGGTGACACGTAGATGCGCACGAGACGAGAGCAGCGACGGGAATCTTTTTCGTTGCATGCTGGGGGGCTCCGCCCCCCACACCCCCCTTCATTCTAGATAGACTTGCTTCATACAGATAACACGATCCTGACCCTTCTAACGTTTTAACTTGTCGCGGACTCTCCTTTCCTCAACACAGTAGTGATCTGCCTGCAAAAATCTCGATTTTTTGCCGTTGTTTAGGTGTTTTTCGGCTATTAAAACTGAACCAGTTGAGCTAGGATAGTGAAATTTCGTGTGTGCTGAGCCAAGGATATACCTAGAAAGTGTGCGAAATCTCACCGAGATCGGCCGAGCCGTTCAGGAGGAGTAGTGCGGACACACACACACACACACACACACACACACACACACACACACACACACACGCGCAGACAGGAAAACTTTTCAACCCCACCCGAGTAACAGGCTTCGCTGTCGCTCAGCCAAAAATTTTCTTGAAAGAACCAGTTTTTGATATTGAAAATCGAAGTTGGTATGAAATAGATCCCCAAGGAGGGTTCCCCATCTCCTGTCCAGAGTGTCATAGTTACAGGGGCCTGAGGCCAGCTTCAACCGATTCCATCACACTGACGAAAACCAGTAAGTATGAGTCAATACAACCAATTCAATACTCTCATTCTAATGTGTTTCAGGTTGTAGTAATGCAACGGGTTTATGTCCGGCGGAAGGGTGGTGTTGACATTACTCGGGTAATGTCCGGCGGATCCACGCCCTGGGCGCCCATTCACCATAGAACACTGACAATGAAAGAGTCATGATCATGACTAAAATTTTGGGTGAGGAATTCTTTATTACCCAAATTTGGATGAGGAAAGTTTCCTCGCCCAAATTTGGGTCATAATACTATGGAGCTATATAGGGAGCTGATGCACCCTTCCTCACCCAAAATTGGGCGAGGAAGCATTCCTCGCCCAAATTGGGCGAGGAAACATTCCTCGCCCACATTTGGGTGAGGAAGTAAACCTCGCCCAAAATAGGGTATTGATCATGACTTTTCCATTCTCAGTGAACAACCTGGGCTCACCCACCAATCGAGCACTTCCGACCTGACGCCTTGTGATGATAGTAATAATAATCTGTTCGTTCGCTCAGGTGCAGAGAATGGGTGAAGGCGACGGGAAACGCCGCTTCAGGGAAGCCATAATGTGTGCAAACACCATTTCGAGGCTGCAGACTTGCACCACGCACTGCCTGTCCAAACCTGAAGGTGTGGGGGGGACCCACTGAAAATTTGTAACCTGCGAGACTTCTCAACCAGTAGTAGAAGATAGGGCCCAGGAGCCCGACCATTTGAGTTGTGGCCACCCGTGCCACGGACTCATTTACACCACAAACCTAACTGTCTACTAAGTACACACTTACAAGCGTGCTGGCAAGTACACACTTACAAACGCACGCTTGACGCATGGAGCTATAAGGCGCCAAGCATGCGTTTGTAAGTGTGTACTTGCAAGCATGCATTTGTAAATGTGTACTTGGCCAAGCATGCGTTTGTAAGTGTGTACTTGCAAGCACGCATTTGTACGTGTGTACTTCGTAGACAGTTAGGTTTGCAGTGCAGCGGTTCTGCAGGGCCTCGACTGCAATGAATTCTACTTAGGTTGCCCCGAGGGGGGAACAGCTTCCCACATTCGTTGTACAAAATTTGACCACATTCCACATTCAGGAGGCAAAAACGCCTGTAAGTAGGCAACATGTGCAGCAAAAACGCCTGAAATCTTGCACATTCTTACAATTCACACAATCATTGTACATAAAATTTTACAGTGGGTCACCCCTCGGGTTGCCGAAGGCAAGCAGGAAGCGCCGCAGGCCAGGCGTGGATTGTCGAAACTGGCGCACCATCGCGAAGCCTGTTACGACAAGACACGGTCTGGCGTACATCTTTCCTGTACGTAGGACACGCGCTTCGTTTCTGAACTCGGGAGTAAAAGCTTGCCGACACCCATGATTGTCTTGTTCTAGTCTGAGTGCTGAAGGTCTACAACAGGCCAAAATGTCCACAAGACTTGCGTTGTCCTGCCCCGACACATTCCTGCCCAGCCACCTTCGCTTTCCCGGCTAGTAATCCCAACGTAATGATCTCTGTAATTAACGAACGGCCAAAATCTGCCCGCGTGTTTGCCTCCTCCGATCGTTGATTAGTCTATGACTGATGTTTTCTCTGCGAGTGCAGTGTCCCTGGCAGAACAGCGTGACGTAAGCAACACAGCTCCCGCGACGCGCTAATGAACGCTTCATTTCCGGCCGATGGTGGATTCAGTCGCACTGCGCGGCCGGTGGGTCATGTCACTGAGGCGGTAGACTCATCGACCTGTGAAGGTACTCCGTTCCACCCAAACTCTTTAGCAGATTCGTTCCAGCAGAGTTTCTTCGTTCTATGTCAAAGTAAGCGATAAAATCGACACTTTTTCGTAGAAATGAGACTCCAACGATACTTTAAGACTAGTTTAACAATAGTTTTGACCGGGACACCTCCCCTTGTCCATCAGGGGCCGAGTTTACGTCAAAAGTGACTAATTTTGATTCATGCCAACACTGAGAAAACCTTACAAACTATTTTGGGCCTTACAAAGAAAAGAAGTTTGTATAACAAAGTATTTTGAGGATAACTTACGTAATCTTACAAAGAAAATACTTTGTAACTTTGTAATTTACGAACTATTTCTTCGTATAACAAAGTATTTTAGTTTGTTAGACGTATGCTCAAAATACTTCGTAAGGTTTTAAGAGTGAAGAAAGCCATCCTGACTCGCCGCGACGTATTGGTGTATATTCCTGAAAGCAATTCTTATTTTCGATGCTGATACGAGAGGGCGGCTTTGGTGGAGTTCTCCCTTTCAACGGTGTGCTTCCGCATGCCTCTGTTGTCCTTTGTGTGTGGAGGCGCGGGACGCCTCATTCAACCTCGAATCGTTAACAAGTTTCCGGCTGGGACACCGCGTTCGTATCGCGCGTGCAGTGGTGATTTTTGGCCCGTCCCGTTTATTTTTTGTAAAAAAATGACGGAGGGACGGGCATATAGTATGATGCATGCTGTGCGTCCGTTCGTTCGTCCGTTCGTTCGTTCGTTCGTTCGTCCGAGGACTTCCCGTGGTCCGATTTTGACCAAATTTGGTATGCAGCCTCCTTGGGTGACCCTAAGAACCGCCCGGTGGCAGCAAATCCGATCCGAGCCCCGGGGGCGCTGCTGCAGGTGCATTATGGTCTACATGGGGTCGAGGAGGATTTGGGCAACGGATACAGCTAGCAGGGCATGTAGGGGTATTTTTGGAATCGGGGCGACGAGACAAAACCAATGGTGCCAGTTTCAAGTGAATCGGAGAAGTTTGGACCCGGGTTCAAATCCCAGTGGGGTATATTTTGAACATTCTTTTTATTCGAGTTTTTGCATTGTTTCATATGTTTGTGAGGGTGCTGATGACGAAAATAACATCTATTTTGACCCCAGACTCAAGTTCAAACCCGTCAGGGTTAACAAAGGCGAAATTCACACATTTGTTAATGCACGGGACGGGCCAAAGTTGCCGATGTATATCGATACTTTTCCTGTTATTTCACACTGAAGTGTCGTTGTGTTTGTCATGCCTAGGTTAAGTGGCTTTCGTGACGGGCGTGTGTGGAAGCTGCCTGAAAGTTAAAATAGAGGCCGATGTCCCTCTGACAAAGTCACTGAGAGAATTTTGGTTGTCAGTTAGTGACATATTCAAGGCTCATCTGCAGACTGACGTGTGCACGTAGTACACACGTATTTACAGCATGCTTCCAAGCACAGTCTCTTCTCTTGTCATTATTCACCGTTGGATCACTGGTAAATCTAAAGCGTAACTCTATGCTTGTGTCAAGCATTAAGTTACGCTTGAAATGAAGCATAGACTAGAAATTTCCCCGTGCATTTAGATAGGAGAAATCTTGGAGGATGGGCCTGTTACACTTGATTTCAACTGTGAACTATACGCTTGAAAACAGAGGGTATACTACGCGTAAGTTTTACCAGTGATCTTCCAGTCATGACCGCGGGACCCTGAAGTTCTCCGTAGGACCCTTACAGTAATCTCGGTGGGACTACAGCCCTCCAGAAAACTGTATGGTCGCACGGAGAAGACTGTACGGTCCTACGGAGAATACTGCAAGATCCTTCACGGGTAAAGCTAAAGCGTAGTATTACCCACTGTTTTCTAGCGTAATCAATAAACGCTTGAGATCGAGAGGAACAGGCTTATCCGTCAAGATTCCCCTTATTTAAATGCATTATGAATTTCTAGTGTATGCTTGATTTCACGCGTGTAGATTCATGCTTGACTCAAGCATAGTGTTAACGCTTCAGATTACCCAGTGTGCAGAAAATCTTAGCGAAAAAATAATATAATGTTCCGTATATTTTTGCTAGTGTGCCAGTAAGTGCGCTCCGAAATAAAATGGCTCGGAAGCATGCTGTTAAGTGTAAGGGAGGGTGGGGAACTATGACCACTTTTTTTTGTGCCTCCCTCTACTCCACCGTGTGGTTCGAAAAGTTCAGTTTCCAGCATGAGGGGATTCTTTGGACCTCCAAGGACCTCTTCCACCCATTGGTACTTGTCTGCAATGCACGGCAGGCTCTCAGAACACTTTGGAAAATAAAACGCAAAGTGGTCATGGCGCCCCACATATGGGGTACCATGACCACCCCGTGGGGCACCATGACCATAGTGAGTTTTTGGCCCAAGAAGTGTACTTTCTACCTGTATTCTCATTGAAATTGTTTATATCGCTGTCCTTACCATCAGGCAAGTCAACTAAACTAAAAAACCTTCGAAGTTTCAACCGTTCTAAGATGCCTTAAAATGGACGGTTTAGAACAGTTAACGCTCTAAGGCTTTCAAATTTCACATCCAAAGCTACGACACTTGTTAACATTTCATGTTTGTCTTGCTAAGACAAATCCAAATTCGTATGCACATTTCAATTTGGTAAATTTTAAGAAAATTATCGCGGTTACTACACTGCAAACAAGTGAAATAAATGCTGTTTCTCATAATGCCAGAGCCGTCTTGGTTCAAAGTGGCCCCAGATCGCTTTCGCGGCGAACTTTTGCGGTTTGGAGCTCATTTAGTGCTAGAGAAACTACCATTTCAAGTCTCAGTTTCAGAACCATTCTTAATCATCCTGGTGATTCACGATTTGTGATAAAACTATCTATTCTGCAGCAATTATTCAACCCTTACACATTTTCGGAAGCAAGAAGCAAATTTTTGACGAAAATAAATCATTATCAGTCCAAAACATGAGAAAAAATACTCTACTATGTATGGTCATGGTGCCCCACTAAAAAGTGGTCATGGCTCCCCACAATGCAGTTTACGACTCTAAGGCTCCCCGAGCAAGCAAAAAGCTACTTAGAATTAAATGCGATGTTGGATATTTTGCCGGAGAGCCGAGATTTTGAGAAAAACCTAAGACATCGAACTGATCTCCTCAAATGTGAGAGTGAGAAAAAATATCCCAGATTTGAAATACGCCCAATTTAGCCAAAACGCTGTAACAAAAATTTTGGCGAGGTGCTATGGTCGTACCCTTGAAGCTAGAAGGTAGGGCTCTGGCTGAAAATAATCAGAATCCTATTCTCTTGAAAGTCCGGTCGACCGGTTGCCGTCGGCAAAGTAGTTCGCGAGACGGGTGGTCATGGTACCCCAGTGTTCATGGTTCCCCACCCTCCCTTACTGCACACACTTCAATTTGCAGGGTGATTCTCCTTACAAGTGAAGAAAGTCATCAGAACATTTGATGAGGTAGTTGTCACACCCATGCAATAAGCAACTTATAGGGGCTTTGATGGAAGCGTTACCACGTTGTGATGAGATTTGCATCATTTGCAAGTGACGAAAGTGTTATCCACGAGTTTGTCTCAACGACGCGTCCTAATAGAACAATCCGAACTGCCAGAGCTGATCCAAGACAATCCTAACTTTCAGTGCAGAACTATCCTAACTGCAGAGGTACCTAAAAGTGTTCATGAAGAATCTTCATTGCAAATCACAGAATCTCGCTACATGTGAAATACAATGTCCACCTATTTATTTAAGGATGATACTTTGTAACAAGTCCCTCGGCGAGTAATTTTATCAAGTATGTGGCGTCACGGACTTTGAGAAAACACAGCTTTTCACGTGATGCGCAGTTAGGATAGTTTTGAAGTTAGGGTTGTTTTGGAACTGCTCTGACAGTTAGGATTGTCTTGGATCTATCCTGGCAGTTAGGATTATTCTATTGGGACGCGTCGATAGCAAATTTTTACGGTGCGTTATTCGACCCGCTGCAGTGGTTGACTTGAAAAGTCCAGAAAAAAACAGAGGCTGGCTGAAAATTGCAATTTCCGATTTGCTGCTCTAGCTTCTACACGTGACATGAACCATGCCCTTACATATACACAATACACGGGTGTTTTTTGTTTAGGAGTCTACAGCGCCATGTTGTTGACGTGGCTCGCAGTGCTGTCGACAGTGTGCCAGTCGAGGGGCGCTGCTCTAGGACGACAGAAGGTACAGACGAACTCATCTTCAGAGTATGTCAGCATTGATTGTTATCAAAAATTTATCAATTAAGTGCTTACTGTTACCTTACAAGCATTTGCAAATCCTCCAAGAAGTGAGACCAGTGAAATGGCCTGTAAAACACATCGTTCTCTTTTGTCTCGGCATTCTGTCGGGTACTTCAAGTTAACAGATGGCCACATTAGGGAGCGTTGTTTGGGTAGAAGGCGGAGGTGAAAGTCCAGATAAAGCCTGGCCTGAAGCCGGGCAATGCTTGTTTTGTGCGAATTGAGTTCTTACAAACGACCGAATAACAAAATCCTTTTAAAGTTTTGAATGTTCACTTACTTCATGTCTCAACCAGAATGGTCTCTGCTGCGATGAAGAATGTTCCAGTCTTAATACATATTTTTAATTGCAGAGCGGCCGTCTCACGGGTGAAATCGTCTCCATTCATGAATGCAAAGAGAACGGTGAAGAAAACAATATTCGATTTAGCCGAAATATTACCCGGCTGCATGGCGCGGATGGCGAGTTTGGCGGGTCAACAAGTTTCGATTTGTTGAAGGGGACGAGGGCTGTGACCAAGGCAAGTCCACTCACTGTCGCAAATTGCCCTGCGTAAGAAAAAAGTGGCCGTTTTGTGAAATTTCCCCAAACTCCCCTTTATTGATATTAGTACTATTGATATGAGCAGTTGCCAAAATTCGGGGCACTTTTAAAGGCCATAGAACCTCAAGAAAAAAATATGGAAAAGTCGGTTTTTTTGTCGGCCAATTTATTCAGTGATGTCCCACGACTTATATCTGAACGCAGTCGAGCTCCCGGTGCAATATTGCAGAAAGACCAAAAAGCCCCTATCAAAAGTATAGGGGAAAGACACGGAACGTTACAGAAAACAGCGGGATACGGAACGTTACATTGTCATTCAAACAGGCCTAGTAACTCTCTTGCTATGAATTAAAACACGCCATTTGGTGTGATCTCCTGTTTTAAGATTCCTCAACACGTCCCGATAGAATTATATCTCTGTTTGGTCTAGAACTTGCCCGGGGAACAGAAAAGCATTTTAAAATCATGGTCGGACACTACCGAAACATAACCTATAAAACAAGATTCTGAGCTTTCTATTAACTTCTCAGAGTTCCCGTTTGCACCATTCGACGGCAAAAATGCTACAGATTAATCTGACGACAAGGCCGAGAACTATCAGTGGAGTACAACGCGAGAAACCGTGATAATTCACATGTAACGTTCCGCAAAGTCAACCACGGAGGACATTTTGCGTTTACAGATTGCACCCAAATCGAGCTCGTAAAAACGAGTTCAGTAACATGTGTCTGATAGATAAAATAATAAAGTTTCCGAATATCTTCTCAGAATCGTTCTACGTTCCATATTAGCTGAAATATAAGCATCGAAACTTTGAATTTATGGACGGGGGACATGCCGGAACGTTACAAAATGACCCTTTGGAGCACTTTATCGACATCTTCTGAATTGAAAAAGTGGTGACTTAAGATGGATAAGAGTGGGCGACGTCGAGCCCAACACAACGCACCAAACCGCATCTCAATACGTTGAAAAATAACGATTATAGAGCCAAAAGACACGAAAGATACCCTTATTTTGGCAACCGCTCATATTAGTAGTATTATTTCCCCAAACCCCCCTTTATTGATATTAGTACTCAAAATTTTGGTTGAGGCTTGATGACAGTCTTGTCCCTGTAAGGATGTCATCAAAACGTTTGGTGACAATTTTTTTATCTGCAAGTGATGAAGTCATCCATGATTTTTCTTGAAGTGCACACTAAATGTCATGGGACTTTTTTTGTCCCACGATTTATGCAATTTTTAGCACATCCGACGCTGATACAATTTTGTTCCGGCCTGGTGACACATTTTGTCCGACGCCTGCTGCAAATTGTACTTTCACTTGACAATTTGTCCCACCTGGCGGACACAAAATTGCATCACCACTTTTTCTTGTCCCATGAATGACGCAATTTTTAGCACATCCGGTGGTGATACAATTTTTTGGCCGCCAGGCGGGACAAATTGTTCAGTGAAAGTACAATTTGCAGCAGGCGTCGGACAAAATGTGTCGCGAGGCGGGAATTAAATTGTTTCAGCGTCGGATGTGCTTAAAATTGCATAAATCGTAGGACAAAAAAGGCCCATGACATTAAGTGTGTACGAAAAAATGCTTTATAATACGCAGAAAATGAAGGCATAGTAAGATCTACGATAAATGCTTCGGATAGTGAAGCAAAATCCTTCGTTACACGAAGCAATCCTGGAATGCCTTCATTTTCTTTGAAGTTGTGAAGCAAATCCTTCGGATGCTTTTCAGAGTGTTCAAAAGACTCAACATCTGTTAACATAGAACCATTTAATGACTAGAGTGAGCGGTCAGGCGTGTTGTTTTATGTATAACATATTTTCGTGTTTCAGGGAAATATTCGCTTTGACTTTTGTTCGCAAGGAGTGACCAAGACTTGCGAGAACTACCTGAACTGGCGGTTTGGCAAGGACGGTTGTGATTTGTGGACCAGCAAGTTAACACTGTGGAACAAATTTGTAGACGCCATTCAACCCAGTTTTGTGTGTCCTTTCCATCCAGTGAGTGCAATGCATTGAATGACGCCTGCAAACGGGTATTCATTGGCAAACTTAAGGGGACAGTAGCGCTTTGTGCATGGTTTTTCCTTCTTTTAAAAATTTTTTTCTGTTTGCGCCTTGATAAAAAAGACTTGCATGAATGCTACACTGTCAGCAAACTCCGTAAAAATACGGAAATTTAACGGAGACTGTCCATTTTTCTTTACGGAGATCTCCGTTTTTTTTAATTATGGATTTTCTCCGTAAAAACATGGAAGTTATGTATATAAATGAAATAAAAGCCCTACATATCAAAAAGAACAGACTAATTCACGTTATCGATGGGTTGGGTGACCAACTGATTAGGTGTTCCAAGCCTTCCCTAAAGCGACCTCGCCTTTGGGTTTCCGTCCATTTATCCGATCCTGGCATGTGGTCAAGTGGATCTTCAAACAGTTTTGGAGAATATCACTTTCGTCTTAAAGACCACTGTTTGCATTAACATCGGAGGTAGAAGGAGGGAAGTAAACCGTTAAAATGCGTTTATTTCTGCAAAAATGCGGTTCATCTCCGTAAAAATACGGAAAATCTCCGTAAAAATTTGGAAAATCTCCGTAAAAAGATGGAAAATTTACGGAGCCTCCATTCCCAAAATTAGAGTAACTTTCTCCGTAAATTTACGGACTTTTTTTCTAACAGTGTAGAGACGAACGGCGGTAACCATGTAAAAGATCAAACTTTTTGCTGCAAATTCAAAAAAATTATATTTCGATTTAGCATTGAAGGAGACATTTATATGAGGGACGTAAAAAAGGTCTCCCAAATCATACATGGTGTCACTGCGCGCACGATTTCAGCTAAAGTTTTCAACTTTTTTTCAATCGGTAAAGTGCATCAAAAAGAGGATAAAATTGCCCATAAAATGAACCAATTTTGCGTTTGGGTTCCCGGTTTGTGGCTAAGCTCGTCTTCTTTTTGTTTTACTCGTTGCTTTCGGAGTGTTCAATCGCGGAGATATTGAAAGCGCGAGAACGTAAAAGAGAACACCGGGCGGACAGGCCTTTAGCATTTGAAGTCTAAAATGGAAAAGAAAAAACGCAAACAAACACAAAAATTTAGGTTTTTTAGACCAATTTTCAGTTTATTTTGCTCACAGTGCACTTTGGCTAAAAACGCAAGTTTGACGTAATCTTACTTAAAAATTTGCAAGTCGCTGTATCTCCGAAGTTAGACCCACACCCAACAATTCCGAGATCGTAGCGTGTTAGGACATGGTTTGAGCTAACTATGCACAATTTTGATCGTTTCAGGGATATAATTGTCAATAGGTCATGTAGAAATTGAAAAGTACATTGCAAATGACATAAAGTTCGGTTTAATGGACTATAAACATTATACAATGCACAAAATAGTGCATATCCAAAGAGAAAATAGTACATATTACGTTTGCACAAAAACCTTTATGGCAACAGATAAAAAGTCAATACGAGTCTGATAGTGTACAATTTCCGCTATCACTCTGAGAAAAAATGACGGTAAATCCTGGATAATTTTTTTGCCAAACTTTACCGTACTTTAAAAACCAGTATCCACCGTACAGTCTACAGTATTTACCGTACTTGTTTTACAAAATATTCCGTAGTCTTTTAACAGTAGTTACTGTTCTTCCGTACAGTCCATGCCGTAGGAAAGACCAGATCTGGTCCCAACAAAGGCCGCTTCCAAGAATTGTCCACATCAGGATCTTGAAACAAGGGGGTCGACCGACTGAAAAAATTTATTGCACCTTTCGATAGGTCTCGTCAAGACCCTTTCAACGAGTGGTCGGAAGGGGGGTCCAGGAGTCCGACTTCAGCAGTTAACGTACATCAGGATCTTAAAAAAAAGAGGGTCGACCGACTGAAAAAAAAATATAGCAGTTTTTGATAGGTATTAAAAGTACGGGATTGCCCAGTCCCAAAAACCCATGGAGCATCCCATGAGTCATGGGACGCCATGGGACACCATGGGCTGATTTTTCCCATGGGGAAGATATCCCATTGATTTTTTGCACCATTTCCCATGGTGTTGAGCAACCCATGGGGAGATGCCCCATGGTGTGTGTCCCATGGGAGCACTTCCTTGCCATGACAGAGTGTCTAGAAAGGTCATTGTTTGAAGTGCCTCCGTCTGCGAGGGTCATCATCTTAAATAATGTCTGCTTATGGTGAACTTTTCACGATACAACCGATTTTGCAACTAGATTTTGTCTACAAGTCACCGTTGACATGATATTACCTAAACGTAAAAATTAGACGGAGACTTCAACGCACGGGCAGGAATTCCATCCCATGGGAATGGCGACGCCATGGGAAAGTTCACACCATGGAGAGGCCCTCCCATGGTGTTCATCCCGCGCCATGGGAAATTACCTCTATTTTCCATGGGAGGCCACTTACCCATGGTGCTGACCCGTGTTCTCATGGGATTTCAGTTAGGTCCCATGGTATATGACTCATGGGATCCCATGCGACCCATGGTTTTTTGGGACTGGGTGCCGGGGGAAAAAGTTCGGGACTCCCTGTAAAAAAAAGTACGGTGTTGCCTGTAAAAAAAATACGGTATTGCCTGTAAAAAAATGACGGTATTGCCTGTTTAAAAATGTACGGTGCAGTCTGGAGTAATCAGTACAGGATTTACCGTGATCTTTTCTCGCAGTATACACGGTTTTGGATTTCACGATATGGGCTTGCATGCTCAAAATACTTCGTAAGGTTTTAAGCAGGGGGTGGCAACGGCCCAGGGAGAGCGTGAAGCGATGCTCACGCCGTCAGTGCAGAGGTTGCGCACTTGTTCGAGATTATGAAAACTAGACTGTGTTTTTCAAAACGCTTTGCACCGATGGAAAGGGCTTGAAATTTAGGGTGCATTAGGCTAATTGCTCTTCTCCAAACTTCCCCCTTCCCTAATATTAAGGTGCAGTAAAAACACCGAAAAACACAAAAATCATAAAATTGAGGAAAAAACACGAATGCGCCATGTTGATGTAAATGATTCCGCCCTTGTGCTCGGTTGAATTGGAAGTATCGGGCAGTCTACTAGGCCTAATGCACCCCAAATTATGTGCTCTTTTGATCTGTACAAAGCGTTTTGCAATCAACGGGCTAGATCTTACAATCGAAGCAAAATAAGAAACCCCTGCACCTCACTCGCGCATGGCTTCACGCGCTTCCTAGGCCGTTGCCGCTCCCTGTTTTAAGGGCGCCTGAAACGTAAGAATCGCTCTCATGCAATTTAAAGCACATCCGACGGTGATACTATTTTGTTTCCGCCTCATGACACGTGACACACATGGTGACGTCTCCTGCAAATTGTATTTTCTTTTAAACACTTTGTCCCGCCTTGGTGACAAAATTGTGTCTCTATTACCGTCGGATGTGCTTAGAATTCTGTAAAACAAAAAAAGGCCTATGACAGTCAGTGTGTGCGTACTTTAAAATGCACGCTTTCATTTTAGGGACACTACACTATTACCAATATTACACTCGATGCAAAGAAGATGGAAATGATACCAGTGGAGGACCGGGAGTGGTTTGTCACCCTGCAAGCATACGGTGACAATGAGCAACCTTGGATGTGCACCGTCTTCGACGTCAAGTTGTTCCGCACGGGGCGACGCAGGGGACCCAAGTAGCAAGGACTTCTGCGCCCACCGAAACCGCCACAGGATTCCTGGATTGATCTCTTTGGTCTAATATACATAGTTTTAAGTAAAATCGAGCTCTTTCTGAGGGGTAAATCTCTCAGCTTTCTGGTGCACACATGAGTACACGAGTACGGGTGAGCGTACACCCTACACACTAAATGTCATGGGACTTCTTTTGTCCCATGAATGATGCAATTTTAAGCACATCCGGTGGTGATGCAATTTTGTGTCCGCCAGGCGGGACAAATTGTCTAGTGAAAGTACAATTTGCAGCAGGCGTAGGATAAAATGTGTCGCCAGGCCGGCGGGAACAAAATTGTATCAGTGTCGGATGTGCACTGTAAAAATTAATTTTCGAAATAAACGACGGATCCTTCGGCAAAAAAATTGCCAACGGTTCCTTTGTTAATTTACGAAGCTCTTCGTATATTCACAAACACCTTCGTTAATTTTTTGAACGATCTCTGTCGATTTTACAATCACAATGGAAATTTACGAAGCACCTTCGTAAATCTACAAAGATCCTTCGTAAATTTACAGGGAACCTTCGTCAATAAACAAAGAACCTTCGTTAATATACAGAGAACCTTCGTAATTTTACGTCTGGAATTAACGACGGATCCTTCGGCAAAAAAATTTCCAACAGTTCCTTCGTTTATTTACGAAGGTCCGCCGTAGATTTACGAGGACCCGTCGTAGATTAACGAAGTCCGTCGTAAATTTACGAAGCCCTTCGTAAATTTACAACAAATTCTGTACATTTACGATTTTTCTTCGTAAATTTACTAAGAACCTTCATAAATTAACGACGGACTTCCGTTGATTTACAAAAGTTCCTGTAGGAAAGAAACATTTACAGTGCACTTTTGGACATTCCCAAAAACCTTCGTAAAATATTCCGTTGTAAATTCACAACATAATTTTTACAGTGTGCTTAAAATTGCATAAGTCGTGGGATCCCATGACATTTAGTGTGTACACTGTAAAAATTATGTTGTGAATTTACAACGGAATATTTTACGAAGGTTTTTGGGAATGTCCAAAAGTGCACTGTAATGTTTCTTTCCTACAGGAACTTTTGTAAATCAACGGAAGTCCGTCGTTAATTTATGAAGGTTCTTAGTAAATTTACGAAGAAAAATCGTAAATGTACAGAATCTGTTGTAAATTTACGAAGGGCTTCGTAAATTTACGACGGGCTTCGTTAATCTACGACGGGTCCTCGTAAATCTACGGCGGACCTTCGTAATAAACGAAGGAACTTTTGGGAAAATTTTTTTTGCCGAAGGATCCGTCGTTAATTCCAGACGTAAAATTACGAAGGTTCTCTGTATATTAACGAAGGTTCTTTGTTTATTGACAAAGGGTTCCCTGAAAATTTACGAAGGATCTTTGTAGATTTACGAAGGTGCTTCGTAAATTTCCATTGTGATTGTAAAATCGACAGAGATCGTTCAAAAAATTAACGAAGGTGTTTGTGAATATACGAAGAGCTTCGTAAATTAACAAAGGAACCGTTGGCAATTTTTTTGCCGAAGGATCCGTCGTTTATTCCGGACATTAATTTTTACAGTGTACAAACCTCAAAAACGTCTACGTTTTACGTACACTGCAAACCTAACTGTCTACTTAGTACACACTTACAAATGCGTGCTTGCAAGTACACACATACAAACGCATGCTTGGCCAAGTACACACTTACAAATGCATGCTTGCAAGTAAGGGAGGGTGGGGCACCTAGTGACACATTTTGGATTTTGGCACTCACTTCGATACTGTGCGAGAAATGAATCTACTTACACCTCAGAAGGTTGCTTTGATCCTTCCTTGATCGAAATAACATGTTGTGGCGTTTTGACAACACCTATTTCTATTATTTACATAGCTTCCCGCAGACCTCTGCACTTGTCACTTGGTGCCCCAGCCCGGGGCACCTAGTGACAGGACATATACCTCACATTACCAGCATAGAGCGACGCTCCAGCTAATTGAAAACTATCCGTTTTGGACTCTTTAAGCTTTTTAAATATCAAACCATTCTGAACGGCGCCATTTTCCCCAAGAAACTGCATTTTACTAAATTGCCAATCAAATTCAATGTTCTACGAAATTGTCGTTAAAAGTAGTCTCATTTATGTTTCGTTGTGTGACAATCGGTGACAATTTACTTCGCGGTTGCCAAATCGATGTTTTGAAACGTTTAAATCGTTGAAATACGGTAAATAGTGTATGTCTGTCACTACCTGCCCCGGGGGCTCATTTTCGTTCAAAATTTGATATTAAGGAAATGAAATCACATGTTTGAGCTGGTTCAGCGAAAACAACTTACTAAAGGTCCTTATTATTCATTAAAAGTGCCAGAACGATCGGCAGTGCCGTTAACTGGAAGAATGGCGAGAAAACATTTTGTTTAAAAGTCGTAAAATCTGTGATTTTGGGTTATTATTTTCTTGCTTTTATTCTAGGGGCTAAAATATTTTGTTCAAAGTATCACTTTCACTTGAACATGATTCCACAGCACAAGACCTTTAGATTAGCCACCTCAAGGTGTCTGAAAGTGCCATAGGGTGGCCAGGGCACCCCTGTGTCACTAGGTGCCCCTGTCACTAGGTGCCCCACCCTCCCTTACACACTTACAAACGCATGCTTGACGCATCACTGTAAAAAATTAGTTCGTAAATTTACAAACAATTTATGGGTAATTTCGTTGCACAAATTATCTGTAAATTTACAACGTCTTTTTGTTTCTTAACGATTTATGAATTATTCTTCACGCAGTAATTTGTAAAATTACAAACTTTTTACACGCTCATAATGACGTGGACCGCTTTTGTTCTACCTTGTCACGCTGATTAAATGGAGATTAACTTATTTCAGCGTTTTTGTTTTGTTTTATGAAACATCTTGTAAAAATGATGAAGGCATCACCATATCTCGTAATCTTACAAGCGATTTGTGCAACGGAATTACCCAAGCATTTGTTGTAATTTTAGGAAACTTTTCATGTTTTTGTGACATTGTTGTAGTATTTTAGTCACGTTTGAGATGTATTTTGTTCGTACCATTTCATAAGGCGGTGTTCACGAACAAATTTCATAAAATTAAGAAGATTTCTGTGATGAATAATTCATAAAACGGCCTCTACGAATAAATTTCATAAAATAACGAAATGTTATTGTTACTTTACAGAGAATTTGTAAAAAAAAATTTCGTAAATTCACAATAATTTTTTACAGTGATGGAGTTATACGGCAGAGGTGTGCATATCCATCCGTCCAGCATCCGTTCCATCCGCAGCGTCAAGGGGTGGGGGGCTGGCCTGTCCAGGCGACAATTCGAACGCGTTGTTTTGCCTTGCGAACGCAGTCCGGGCGACACAGGTGAGGCAGCTGCGCTACGCCACGCCGCCGCTGGCCGGGCGAGCGAGACGGAGCGAGCGGCGCCGCTGGGAGTGCGAGAGAGACGAACGGCCGCCCAGCAGGCTGCGGATGGAACGGATGGAGCAGATGCGCGGGCCGGATTGGGCGGGTTGGGTGCGGGCGGGTCCAGTGGTAGGCGACCCGCCCACGGCCAGGCTGCGGATTGAACGGATGCTGGGCGGATGGATATGCACACCTCTGTTATACGGCGTCAACACTGTTAAAATTATGTTGTAATTTAGCAGTAAATATGTTGCTAATTTTCTTAGCGATCAAAGTTGTTTTCAAATGACTTTTTTTGTTTACTAACGAGTTGCGTCGTTCGTCCACAAGATGTTTGTAAACCGATAGACAGCCTTATTTGCATCAATTTTTATTGCCGATTAGGTCACAGACCTAGTAGAGTCCCGGTTACCCCGCAGTAACCACTTCTTAGATTGTCCGGGTTGTTTGTAAGCAGCAAAATATTGTTTTGAAACAGCATAAGTCATTAAAATAATTAGCAACGAATTCGTCGTTTCAAAACAAGCAAACTTGTTCACAAACAACAGCGTTGTCGAGGTTGGTAACTGTGTTGTTGTTTTAAAACAACTATTTTTAACAGTGAAGCATGCGTTTGTAAGTGTCTACTTGCAAGCATGCATTTGTAAGTGTGTACTTGGCCAAGCATGTGTTTGTAAGTGTGTACTTGCAAGCACGCATTTGTAAGTGTGTACTTAGTAGACAGTTAGGTTTGCAGTGTATAGGGTTTATTGACGTTTTTAGGCTTGAGCGTTTTAGACGACACACGAAAAATCATGCCAAAAATTTGCGAAGTTAGCTCTTTGTAAACTTGTGACTACACTGAGTACGGGCCAATTTGTACACGTGAGAAAACTAGTGATGCGCCCCTCGGCATTTTCTTTTTAAATTATTTTAGCAGTGCCTTAACACGCGCCCAATACACACTAAATGTCATGGGACTTTTTTTTGTCCCACGATTTATGCAATTTTCATTTACATTTCGAAAATGCACGTGTTACTCTACATAAACTGTAAGAAATTTGTTGTCTATTTGTGCATGGAGTGAATTAACTGATCACAAGTACATTTGAAATGTAAAGGAATAGTACTTGAACTGCAGACAGTTCAATGCAGTCCAGCTGCATTCCAACTAAGGGAGGGTGGGGCACCTAGTGACAGGGGCACCTAGTGACACAGGGGTGCCCTGGCCACCCTATGGCACTTTCAGACACCTTGAGGTGGCTAATCTAAAGGTCTTGTGCTGTGGAATCATGTTCAAGTGAAAGTGATACTTTGAACAAAATATTTTAGCCCCTAGAATAAAAGCAAGAAAATAATAACCCATATCACAGATTTTACGACTTTTAAACAAAATGTTTTCTCGCCATTCTTCCAGTTAACGGCACTGCCGATCGTTCTGGCACTTTTAATGAATAATTGGCTGAGCGATAGCGAAGCCCTTGCCGTGTTTGGGCGCGCTGAAAAGTGACTGGTCGTGCGTCTGTCTGTGACTCTGTTTGTACTCACCAACGATTCTCAGCAACTACAGTGGCTATAGTTTCAAGATTTCGTATTTAACGTCGCCTTAGTACCCCCCAACACGAGT